TTACTATGATATTCATTATCATCATTATACTCAGGGATGCTTCTTAAGGGATTGGAATACAACCTGTATGCCAACATATTCCTAACAGTAAAGTATTATTGCCGATACTTATCATAATGATCATAATCATTACCTTTTATGCTCATTAAAAGCAATTCTAACGAGCTTCGTCACTGTAGATGATGATAATGGATCTTTATTGTTGAGGGTAGTAGTAATAAGATCATAGCAATTTGAATGCATATTTCAAAAACCCTACACCAAATAGCAGCATTCGTAGGAACGTCGAACACCTCATCAAACGGCATGAAGAGCAGTTTCTGAGTGATGAGATAACAAGTTAGCAAGATTTTCATAAACAATCAGCTACAATCCTTTCCCCCTACACCGTACACCGAATCCCACCCGAGTCGGGTGGGATTCGGTGGGGTGTCGGGTGACCCGACACCATCCACTGGAGCATCTGGGCCAATCAGAGTTATTCGAGATGACTGTGATTCACCCAGATCCTCATCTCCTGTTCACAAGCAGCAAACATTGCCTCCTCGACGTTTTGCAGTGGCTGATTCTTAGAGGTGACCATATTGTGAAGTTCGGTTCGGCTTTTGCTGCGTGAAGGAATGCACTCTTGGCTGATTTCTTCACCTCTCTGGACAAGTGGGAGAGCACCGTGCTGCCATTCGGAAGGTCCCGGGTTCGACCCCTGCGAGATGCAATATCTAAACAAGAGTGCTTCGAAGGGTCCCTGGTTCAACCCCTGTGGGCTGCAAACACGGTACTTAAATATCTATTTAGGTAGGGGGCCTGTTTCATAGGAGCAAATTGCGCCTTAAACTTAAGTAACGCCTTAAGTATACCTCAAGTAATTAGGACATCCTATTCCACTACCTAAGTAAGCACGTTAAGGCGCCTTAAGTTTAGGAATACTTAAGGCGCCTTAAGTTAAGGAGCTCCCTAAGTTGCTTCTAAACGTTGTGAAATGAGTTGAGTACTTCTTAAGTATACCTTAAGTAACTCCTTAAGTTGCTCCTATACTAGGCCTTCGTGACGAAGGGGCGGAGCTCACTGAGTCCACATCGTGAACTCAATCAAAGAATTTTACATAGGTCCCCGGTTCGATCCCCGGGTAGGACATTTCTCTATCATTAAAGTTTTTCGTGCAGATCTCTTCGAGCTGTTCGCATAACCGAGTTTTCTGATTTTTTCCAACACCTACGCATAGAGAGGAGTCGTTTGATCTATCTGATAGCCTCCCACGCTCCGTAGTCGAGCCAGAATAATTCTGCACGCACGCACAACGCGAAAGCGCCTGTTGCTGCGGTATAATTTTGCTCGAGAGTGTTTGAGTTGTTTTCGATGGATAGTCATTTTGCTTCAGTGGAGTATTTTCCTCAGTGTGAGAAGGAATGCACATGGTCAACGACATGTGTTGGTGACAAATGAAATTTTTGAGAAATTCTTTAGAAGTGATGAAGTCCTGAGCTCAGCTGAGGAAACAAAGCATATATTCCAGAAAAATAGTTTTCTAGAGTTTGATATGCGCGACTTCGCGATTTCAGAATAAGAGGTATATATAAGAATTTTGGGTGTAAAAAATTAGCTTTAAAACTCGCTGCAGTTGGGGGAAAATTAATACTTTCGAGCTAGGTGGATATAATCGTGCGTGAAAAAATCACACTAGGCCTTCTCGGAGAAGGGGCGGAGCTCGGCATCCGGGTTCGATTCCCATGCCTGGCGTTTTTCTGCAAAAATACGTTTTTTGCACGGAAATCTACATGGTCCGGGCGGAACCCTAATTTCGTATTTTTCCTAGTATCCCCAGAGCGAGAGCTATCGAATGGTGTATAGCATGTGATCGTAACCTCTCTAGATCGAGCTGGATAATTTGTTCGCATGCACGCACGCACGCACGCACGCACAGTGTTAGTAAAGTGAGAGAATACGCTCCGCTCGCTTCGCTCGCTCCGCAATTTAAGGCGCCTTAAATTAAGTATCCTTGTGAAACAGGCCCAGGGTCGGCTCTACCTTACCAAAATTTAAGGAATACTGAAGTTGCTCCTTAAGTACGCATGTTGTGAGATGCTTCTCGTAAATACTTAAGTATATGCACAGAAACTCAAGGCACCTTAAGTATTCCTAAACTTAAGGCACCTTTAGTATTCCTAAACTTAAGGCACCTTAAGTATTCCTAAACTTAAGGCGCCTTAACGTGCTTACTTCAGTAGTGAAATAGGATGTCCTAATTACTTAAGGCGTTACTTAAGTTTAAGGCAACGCAATTTGCTCCTATGAAACAGGCCCATTATTGGAGATGACTACTCCTTCTAATCATCATCCATCTACATATGATCATCATCAACATCATCATCATCATTATACTACTATTATTTCCATTAATGATGATGGAGATATATTACCATCAGGGCGTCAACGAGCTGATACGACCATGTTCCCTGCTGCTGCTGCTATTGAGAATGATGATGATTATAGTTATGATGGCATGTATCGTCCTCGTACCTACACCTCCATAAGTAATGATACTACTACTACTATTACTAATCGATTAATGGGAAGAGAACACCATACTACCTTACCACTCCAACCTAGCTTGGTGAGGAGTACATCATCATCAAGGAGTAGGTATAACTTATTACTATTTGGAGTCCCGTGGGATAGGAGCTTTATTAAGGATAATGTAATAATGGGTATAAGTAGTAACACCAGCAACAAGCACTCACAAGAGTCATCATTGATGTATCATGGTTTATATAACTACACTATGCCACCACTATTATACCTTATGTCACATCCTACTTATCACAGTACCATGACTCCAATGATTATTATTAATATAAATGGGGCATGCTATGCTTATTATTATCAATATTGTCTATTATCATTGTCTAGCATTATTAGAGGGATGTATCATTAGTTTGGACATCAGTTATTACCACGACAAGTTTGGATGGACAATAATCCATCGGCAATTCATTTATCCCCTTTAGATAACTCTGATGCAAGTATTGAGTTAGTCATAGTCATTATTATTATATTCGTTCTACTACCATTATCCTTGAATTCATAAGGGCTTCCTTAAAGGTGATCGCCGTATGTTCCGCATTATACTGACCAATATGTTAGGAGGCATTGGGTGGAATTATGAAATCCTTGATAGCAGTAGTAGTTTATGGTCGTGTGATGATCATCAATAGTCTGACTACTATTTATTATTATCAAAGATATCATGGTCTCTAAAATATATGCGATTTGATGCGGCCTCGAGTGGACTAAGAGTGATATGCCCTGATGATGATGATTATTGTTGTTAGAACTGTTGCATTAGAGTATGTATTAACTATCGAAGAAGAACACTCTTATCAGTTTACTCATCAATGTTCATAATCAGCGTCATATTGTCATAATCTTAACCAACATCATCATCATAATCAGTAGGATGATGATGATATTTACTACCATCAATAGAATCTCTTAATCTAGTGATCATCATCATCATACTTACCTCATTATAACCATAAGTGATCATCATCATCACTACCATCATGATACCATCATGATCACAGCCTCATGATAATTCTTCTTATTACAGAGTGAGGATAATTATGATTATAACAATTATTATGAGACTAAGGACTATTGGTATGATGACCTAATGACCATGATGATGATGATATACATGATGTGTATTATTATTATTATTACCATATGGCCTGTGATACATTCATTACTCCATTCATATCTATCCCCGAATAAGAAGGATATTATGCCCTTATTATTATGCCCTTGTTCCGAGATAGTATTAGTAGTATTGCATGAATAGTCGTGAATAGGGCGATGTACTTGATGATGTATTGTCCCCTCCTCGTCCTCCTTCTCCTCTGATGTCCCTTTCATATACTCCATATCAACTGTGGTTATAATGATACATAAATTGAATAACAACAACAACAAGGAGAACAACATGACCCAACATCCCTATACCTACTCCTATAACAACTACTATGCTCCTACTACTACTACATCATGATGATGATGGCGGTATTGCTGCCATTATCACAGTATCCTAGCTGTCCTTCTTGCTTGATCAGCTAGACTACTCCTATTACTCTTTGTATGTGGTGATAGGGAGTGTGGAGTAATTCGTAGTATATCAACAACAACTGGGTGGTTGGTGGTGTTAGTAATAGTATTATGCCTCCTTATCATCATCACCTCTCTTGAGTTCATCATCACTTCATCATCACTCTTCCTATTATAGGTATATGGGTCCGATCTATAAGCATGATGGTAGTATTAATAATAATTACTACTACCTCCGACGTCTATTCTCCTCTTCTTCCCTCCTAATATCAGCGATAACTGCCAATCGTGCTCTTGACTCACATAATGGATCTATCCCTAGTCGTGTTGTTGTTGTTGTTCTCGGTGGTGTTGTTGTTGTTAACTCCATATTATCATTATATTCATGACCATTAGAATGTCCTATTCTTCCTTCTTGTACTATAGATGATGTATTTATCGGTGTAATCCTATATAATTCCATAGTTCCCTTCTTCCACCTATTACTAGTATATCCGTGCCGTGGCCGTGACCGTGACCGTGACCGTGACCGTGATCGTCGTCTACTCATCCTCATCATAACCCTTTTTATATTATATCTTATCCTCTTCAATACTTGTTTAATATTACAACATATATTATCATGTTTCTTTTTATTATTAAACAAATATCTTATTATTACTGTTAATGCTACTAAGGATGTACATAATATACTCAATAATAATACTCTAATAAAGAGATCATTATCATCATCATTGGATTGTCGCTGTCCCTCTCCATCATCAATTAACAACCTAGTGATGTCCAGCAGCAGCAGCACCTGAATACTTCTCATTATTTTGATATATGAATAGGCTTAATAGTATTAATGATTACATGATCATCCTCATATACCATTTTGGTGTTCTTGTCTATTTGGAATATTATGTGGTAGTATTATGATATGGGTATAATATACTCATAAGAGTGTTACTATTACTACTACAATAATAGATACCACCCATAACGACACAACAACAATAGTTATATACTGGAACTGTGATAAGACTATTACTACTATCATCATTATTATCATCTTCTTATTTGTAGTAATAACAATAGTGTAAATATGATCATCATAGTTCATCTCCCCATTTCTTAGAAGCCTCTTTATCATTAGTATAATCATCATCCATATGATGTACTCTAACATAACCATCTTCACCACCCGATACAAAGGTATAACCATCAGGTGACCAAGATAAGGTATTAATAGGACCAAAATGTCCCGATACTTTACCAAGCTCATTCTCATATATCATATGGAATAAGCATGATTCAAACTTACCTTGTTTAGCCGATGTAGTAGTAACATCACGAGCTTGTTGTCCACCACCAATCATCACATGTTGTCTTCTTCTACTAATAATATCAACATGATCGTTGTCGTCGACAGTCGAGGTCGTCGTCGTTGTTTTCGACTCGATCTTATTATTATCATCACTAACATCATCAGCACGATATAGAGGATTGATAGTGGCATCATTAATAGGACGATCCGAAGTATAGGTCTTAATACATTGCCATGTTCTCATATTCCATAGTTTAGCTGAATAATAATAATACAACATGATAAGATGTTATTATTATTATTACCTGTCATATCCTGTGATGCAGTAACGAAGAGTAATCTATCAGATGAGAACTGACACTTAGTGATTGGGCGCCTGATAATAATGATTATTATTATAGTAGAATATGGTTATTATTACTCATGAGCATGTTCAATCTGCTGTAATTGTTCACCAGTAGTAGCATCCCATATGAATATACTAGTAGCAGCATTATGATAGTCACTTTTTTCATCATGTATAGTTATGATAGTCTCATCATACAATCCCCATCTAGCCTGTAATAAGATAATACTATGGTGATACGTATTACGTATTATTATTACTTGTAAGGCTTTACCAGGTAGGTTATCTCCACTTATCTGCATATTCACGCTTAGCTTATGATCATCATCATCATATTCCCATACACTAACAGAGTTAGGCGTAGATACAAACTGATCTCGACAGGCTACGAAACGGTTCTGAAGATATCTCAATATCTGCAATACATGATACTAGTAGTAATACTTACCTGTTTGTTAGGATTAGTACACCATTCAACACTCCTTACTACACCTTTTACCATTTCCTCAGCCAAACAATTACCACTTAATACATCGAATACTCGTATACATTGATCACCTGATCCTGTTACCAATCTAGTAGAATCATATGTACAAGAGAATGAGAATACAGCACCCTTATGTGGTTCATAAGTACCCAATCTTTCACCAGTATAGGAATCCCATACACACATACCATTATCCTTACCACTAGTAAATAGTAGATCACCATCACCATTAAACCCGACTTGAGTCACAGGTCTAC